AGAGATTTGAGCATAAACCAGCAGCTGCACAGTTAACACAACCAGTAGTGGAAGAAGTATTCAAATCCTTTACTTCAGTAAAAGTACTGATACCACACTGAATGGCACTGATTGAATACCTGATAATAAAGGTTTATAAAAATCAGTTATTTTCCGTAAAGAGTTTATACTGTATGTAGAATAAAACATTCATTCTGGTACTCTGCATGTTTTCACAGCACAGGAGTGCCTTCTTTTGGCATAGCCTATTTCCAGACATTTTTCCGCTTTCTTGCCCAAAAACAGGTTAGAAAACATATCAAATGTAATAGGTTACACTACTTTGAAGAAGTCTAACTAGTAATTTGTAACCTAGTACGTTTCAAAAGTAACCTTCCCAACATTGTGTGTATGTTGCATTTCACTGTTCAGCTTTGTGACGATGCATGTTCCTGCTGATCCAAGAGGATTTTTAGAGATATTATTAGTTTACGTAGTAGGAGGATTTTCCCAGACCATAAAGGAACATTTCATCCTTCAGTTTATCACAAACATTTAACTTCAACACATCTGGAGATACATGGTTTTCAGTGGACAGAAAGGGGATTAAAAACTGTAGTCTACAAAGTAGTACTGCTACCATTATTGGTCATACCGTAAAACTTCAATTAAAAGCTTATTTCCAATTAAACACCCAGTCCCTTTTACTAGCCTGGTGTGGCTATACACATGCTGACATATAAAGGCCTGTCTTAATAAGACTAATAGTTTTATAGAAGTTCTTTGGATATTTGCTACCCACTTGAGCCAACATTACTTAGGTGCTTCGGTCGCACATACATATACAGTACAGACCAAAAGTTTGGACACACCTTCTCATTCAATGCGTTTTCTTTATTTTCATGACTATTTACATTGTAGATTCTCTCTGAAGGCATCAAAACTATGAATGAACACATGTGGAGTTATGTACTTAACAAAAAAAGGTGAAATAACTGAAAACATGTTTTATATTCTAGTTTCTTCAAAATAGCCACCCTTTGCTCTGATTACTGCTTTGCACACTCTTGGCATTCTCTCCATGAGCTTCAAGAGGTAGTCACCTGAAATGGTTT